CCCTCCCACTCCCTCACACACACACACTCACACTCTCTCACACACACACACACACTCTCTCACACACACTCACACACAGAGACTCACTCACTCACACACACACACTCGCTCTCACACTCTCACACACACACTCGCGCTCACTCTCACACACACACACTCACTCACACTCTCTTACACACTCACACTCTCTCTCACACACACACACACACTCTCTCACACACTCACTCACACACACTCACACTCTCTCACACACACTCTCTCACACACACACACACACACACACAGAGACTCACTCACTCACGCACACACACAGTCTGTGCTGATCATGGTGTGTGTTTGTGCAGCGTACGGCGGCTCTCTCATCGAACATTGTCTCATGGCGGTCGGGTTGCCAGGTCTCTGTAAAGTGGACAGCCAGTTTGAAGTCACGCAGGGTAAAAATCCTCTGCATTCATGTAAACCAATGGCAGGGACTGGTTGCTGGAGTAGCTGTGTGTTATGATGGTCTCCTTGTCCTTTGCAGTAAGTCCGAAGATCCTGGAGGCCTTGCAGATGGCTGAAGATTATATGGAGAAAACGGCCAACTTCAGCGGAAGGGTGAGCGTGTCTTATGAACGATGACGAGAACGCATTCCTAACCTGTGGCTCGATCGCTATCTGATGCTCGTCTGTTCACATCTGTCCACTCTCAGGGCTACATCATTCAGAAGAGTGAGAAGAAGCCCAGCATGAGTCCAGATGAAGCTGAGGAAGAGTTGCTCACGTATGATGATCTGATTTCATCACTCTTCTTTCTTCCGGTCGTATTTTATCATGCTGTTGATAAACAGAGCTTTTCTGTCATGTGCAATAATTGATCCTCTTTTGTTTAACAGATATGAAGAATTTCATCCATTTCTGTTTTGTCAACATGAAAAAAGCCGCTCTGTTGAGTTTGAGTCTTTTAACAAGGTTAGTAGTTGCACACGCTGCAGATGTGGAATACATCCCCCTTTCAGAATCTGCAAGATGTTTCTCATTTAAAAAAAAAAAGAAGGATCATAAGCATTGCATTTAGTTTATTTCTGCAGGTCTTAAAAAGTTTATTTCACCCTTTCTTAAACTAAGACTCTTAAAACTCTTAAATCAGAGCAGAAAGAATTTAATTTATAGTCATGGCGTTAAAAGTTGCATCACAGCAAAAAATGAATTCTTCCTCAGTATTTTTGTCGTGTTTTCTAATACAAATATCTAAACACCCTTAAATCAAGACATGTTTACTAATGCTAATGTAAATGAGGTCTTGAAAAATTGTACAAAATTAAGTGAGGTTGATTAAAACAACAAATATCTGTCGGTGGGGTCAGAAAACTTATCTTCCCTTTGAATTAAGTTTCTTTTTCTGACCCCACTAGCAGATATCTGTTCTTGTGTTCTTGTTTTAATCATAAACTCACTTAACGTTGATCAGTTTTGCAGAAAACAAGACTTTTTCTGTCATTTTGTTTCTCCAGTAAATGTGTCTTGATTTAAGAATCTTTAGACATTTGCACTGGAAAACAAGACAGAAATACTGAGAAAGAACAGCAGTTTGCAGTGAGATCAGAAGGTACAGTATAAGATATTTCTAGTGGTTTGGAGCAGGGCTATTCAAGCCTTATTTTTGTAAAATGAATTAAACACAATCTTTCATCTGATGTCAGGCAGTGGATGAGTTCTTCTCTAAGATGGAGAGTCAGAAGCTGGACGTGAAAGCGCTGCAGCAGGAGAAACACGCGCTGAAGAAGCTGGATAACGTCAGACGAGATCACGAGCAGCGGCTGCAGGCGCTTCATCAGGCTCAGGTGTCAGTCGGTGTTTAGCTTTCAGTCTGAGTCTCAGAGGCTTGGACACGTTTCAGTCACGCAGTAATGAACCAGAGAAACATTTAAAGAGCGTTTGTGTTGTAGGAAGTGGACCGACTGAAGGGAGAGCTGGTGGAGATGAACCTTCACATAGTGGACAGAGCTCTTCAGGTGGTGCGCAGCGCTCTGGCCAATCAGGTGGACTGGGCCGAGATCGGTCAGATCGTGAAGGAAGCTCAGGCGGCTGGAGATCCCGTGGCCTGTGCCATTAAAGAGCTCAAGCTGCAGAGCAATCACATCACTATGCTGCTGAAGTGAGAGCTTTCAGATACACAGCATCAGATGCCTCTTCACGATGTCTTAGTTTGACCGGATCCTCGTGTCTCTTTCAGAAACCCGTACGCTGGTTCTGAGGACCGAGAGGCAGAAGACACGGATGTCAGAAAGACTGCGGAGGCATCGCAAGCGCAGAAGGGGAAAAAGGGTAAGAACAAAGACAAAGGACAGAAAGGAAAAGTCGAGAAGGACAAACCGGTTCTAGTGGACGTCGATCTGAATCTCTCGGCTTACGCCAATGCAAAGAAGTGAGTTTACACGTGAATACTGCGATCAGACGTGAGCTCATGATTCTGTGTGAATGACACGTTTACTGAAGCACGAGTCTCTCGTCAGGTATTACGACAGCAAGAGAAGCGCGGCCAAGAAAGAGCAGAAAACTGTGGAAGCGGCACAGAAGGTGAGCAGACACGTGACTGGTGGACGACGTGTGTGTTTGGTTTTGGCTGCAGGTTTGTTAAATGTGTGCTTTGTATTTGTTTCGACTCAAGGCCTTCAAATCTGCTGAGAAAAAGACCAAACAAACACTTAAAGAAGTGCAGACAGTGACCAGCATCCAGAAGGCCAGGAAGGTGTACTGGTAAAGACAAACATCCGTCCGTCCGTCCGCTGTGTTGTGTTGTGTGTGTTTCTCTGATCCGGCATGTCTGTGTTCAGGTTTGAGAAGTTTCTGTGGTTCGTCAGCTCCGAGAACTACCTGATCATCGCAGGACGAGACCAGCAGCAGAACGAGATGATCGTCAAGCGCTACCTGAGAGCAGGTCAGGCCGAAGCTTCCTCCGCTCCCATGATGCTCTCCCGAGGGTTCCTCTGTTTCTCTGAATCCTGTGCTGCCATGTGTTTCCTCAGGGGACGTTTACGTTCACGCCGATCTGCACGGAGCCACGAGCTGCGTGATCAAGAACCCGTCTGGTGAGGAATTCTCACTAAACTCAACTTTCTAAAGGTGAACATCGATCTGATGTTTGTCAGATTCAGATGATGAGACATTTTAATTCATAGAAATCACTGAAGTGATTCTGATCAGGTGACTGACTCGTTACATTGACGCATTTGGCAGATGTTTCAGTCCTGATGTGCTGTTTGTGCTGCTCGTGTGTGAAACTCTTTCATCCAAACACTTCTGTTTCTCAGGCGAGGCTGTTCCTCCGCGGACGCTCACCGAGGCCGGGACGATGGCCGTGTGCTACAGCGCAGCGTGGGACGCTAAAGTGGTCACCAGCGCGTGGTGGGTTCACCATCATCAGGTGAGCGGCGGCACACACAGAAGCAGGTGTCGATGAGTTCAGACGCTCATGTGCTTCATCTCACACAGGTGTCCAAAACCGCGCCGACGGGAGAGTATCTGACCACCGGCAGCTTCATGATCAGAGGTGAATATTACTGTGCATTACATGGATATATATATATATATTATATTAAAATGAAGAGGTCTTACCTGTGTCTGGATCCCACTTCCAACACTAAAGTTGCTTCATATCTTGTTCAAAAGTTTGCAATATGAAACGATTCATGTTTTGTATCACTTCTCCACAGGGAAGAAAAACTTTTTGCCCCCTTCATATCTGATCATGGGCTTTGGGTTTCTGTTTAAGGTAAAGACGTCGCCGACACGAAACAATGACAACATAATCACATCATATGACGCATTAATGCTAAGATAGCGTGGCTTGGTGATTAACTCTTTCACCGCCAGCATTTTTGATCATTTTCACACAAATTTCATGGTGCTCAGATTATTTTGTTGTATGAATATCTGAACATGCAATATGTCAAAAGAAAGAACAGAGCCTCTGCTTTTAAACAAAAATCCTGTTTTATTCTAGCTTCATGCAGTCTTTTTTCTCAACACTTGAATGTGGGTATGTTTCATTAAAAAAAGCAACGTTTCGAACGAACAGCTGAGAAAATGCTGTTTTTGTCAAAGACTACGTCTGGATCAGATTCAGAACGATGATCAAAGCACAGATGGAGTCGATCGCCTGCATCAACACATCCAGAGCTTCACAGTCCTAACCCACAGACACTTCATTCGCTAACGAACAGTTTGGGTTTATATGCTGTTGAATGTTTGATGATCGGGTTATTTTACATGTGCACCTGCTTACATACGCGATCGCTCGTTCCTGCTGCTTCTTCACCGTGTTTTGATCCAGAGATTCAGTGCTCTTTCAGAAGATGTGTAATAGCGCCTCCTACTGTATAACAGTGAAAACACAGAAAGCCGGAAAATTCCGTCAATGCGGGGAAGTCAAGTCACCTTTATTTCTATAGTGCTTTATACAGTACAGATCGAGTCAAAGCAGCTTTACAGTGTTAAACAGGAAAAGAGTTTGTCAATAATGCACACTAAATTCAATTCTGCTGTAGAGCAGCTCTAAAAAGAGGACAATAGTAAACATTTCAGTTCATCATTGATTCAGCTCGGTTCAGTTCTCTTCTGATAGTGTCTGTGCAGTCAAGCTGAGAGTTAAAGATCTGTGCTGCTACCTGAGTTATGTGATCGTAATCATCACTCGTTCATGTCATCCTTCAGTTTTCCAGTCTCTCTGCGTCTGTGATTGTAGGTGGATGATCAGAGTGTTTTTAGGCATCGTGGAGAGAGGAAGATGAAAACCCTGGACGAGGAAGAGGACATGACCTCCAGCTCTGCAGATCTCCTGGAGGAAGGAGAAGAACTCCTAGGTGTCAGCACACGTTCACAAACATCATCATCATCATCAGTGTCCAGTCTTCTGTCAGATGTTCAGACGGTCTGTGGTTGATTGTGTCTCAGATGAGGACAGTGGGAACGAGCACGAGGAGCAGCGGGAGTCCAGCGGGACGCCAGACGAGATGACCACATGTGCAAACATCAGAGATGAGGACGAAGCAGCTTCTCCACAGGGAAGAAAAACTTTTTGCCCCCTTCATATCTGATCATGGGCTTTGGGTTTCTGTTTAAGGTAAAGACGTCGCCGACACGAAACAATGACAACATAATCACATCATATGACGCATTAATGCTAAGATAGCGTGGCTTGGTGGTTAACTCTTTCACCGCCAGCATTTTTGATCATTTTCACACAAATTTCATGGTGCTCAGATTATTTTGTTGTATGAATATCTGAACATGCAATATGTCAAAAGAAAGAACAGAGCCTCTGCTTTTAAACAAAAATCCTGTTTTATTCTAGCTTCATGCAGTCTTTTTTCTCAACACTTGAATGTGGGTATGTTTCATTAAAAAAAGCAACGTTTCGAACGAACAGCTGAGAAAATGCTGTTTTTGTCAAAGACTACGTCTGGATCAGATTCAGAACGATGATCAAAGCACAGATGGAGTCGATCACCTGCATCAACACATCCAGAGCTTCACAGTCCTAACCCACACACTTCATTCGCTAACGAACAGTTTGGGTTTATATGCTGTTGAATGTTTGATGATCGGGTTATTTTACATGTGCACCTGCTTACATACACAAGAAGCACCTGACGGCCAAACAGCGCAGGTGAGACGCTAGAAACGCCAGCCTGGCACGTTTATTTCTACAATACAGAATGATTCAAAGCGGCTTCACAGAAATATACAGGAAAATAACAGCATCAATGATGCAAACTTCAAATATGAGAGAAAAACTAATTCATCTGTAAAACATCTGTCAACATTTAATTCAATGTTTAATTGAATATCCTCCTTCAAAAATGTGTAAACCACTTTAAGTGTCAAGAAAAGATAATAGTGCTGTTTCAATAATCCTGGACGAGGAAGAGGACATGACCTCCAGCTCTGCAGATCTCCTGGAGGAAGGAGAAGAACTCCTAGGTGTCAGCACACGTTCACAAACATCATCATCATCAGTGTCCAGTCTTCTGTCAGATGTTCAGACGGTCTGTGGTTGATTGTGTCTCAGATGAGGACAGTGGGAACGAGCACGAGGAGCAGCGGGAGTCTAGCGGGACGCCAGACGAGATGACCACATGTGCAAACATCAGAGACGAGGACGAAGCAGAAGACGACGAGCAGCCGGCCGAGGAAGAGAACGCAGCAGAAGATGGAGACGAGGAAGATCAGAGCACCGAGATCAGCTTTCCAGACACCAGCATCTCTCTGTCTCACCTGCAGCCGCACAGGTGACGCTCGCTCAGACTCTGTTCCACTGCTGTATGAAAAGCATTGGCTGTTTTGAGTCAGTCTGTGTCTTTCTCCACAGGACTCTTCAGAGCGACGCTTTCAAGCAGGACGATTCGCATCAGGTGAGTTACAGACGGCGAGATCACGTGACGCTGCTCAGCTTTGAGTCAAGCGAAGGTTAACAGATGCGTCTGTGCTGCAGGTGAACACCGAGACTCAGGTCAAGAAGCACCTGACGGCCAAACAGCGCAGGTGAGACGCTAGAAACACCAGCCTGGCACGTTTATTTCTACAATACAGAATGATTCAAAGCGGCTTCACAGAAATATACAGGAAAATAACAGCATCAATGATGCAAACTTCAAATATGAGAGAAAAACTAATTCATCTGTAAAACATCTGTCAACATTTAATTCAATGTTTAATTGAATATCCTCCTTCAAAAATGTGTAAACCACTTTAAGTGTCAAGAAAAGATAATAGTGCTGTTTCAATAATCTAATTAGCTATGAAACAAACTCGTTTCAGCTGTAAAGCAGCTCTACAGAAGACAGAGTCATTATTCAGAGCCGTTCAGTTTCTATTCTAATCTAATAGTGCAGTCAAATCAATAATATTACTGAAAATTAAGAGTCTTGAAGCCAGTCGTGAGCAAAGACATCAGTTAGATCAGCATAACTAGTTGATCACCCATCGCTGTCATCAGGGACATGAAGAAGAAGCAGAAACCGGACACGGATGATCCGGAGGAATCCGACTCCAAACCGCCGGAAGCTGCGAGCGTGACACAGACGTGCAGGAACGGAGCGGCCAATCAGCCGCTGAAGAGAGGACAGAAGGTTATAAACCACTGAACCCGTGATCTTCACGTGTAACATACAGTCACGTGTTCCTGCTGCTGTGATGATGCTTTGTTTTTCCCAGAACAAACTGAAGAAGATGAAGGACAAATACAAAGACCAGGATGAAGAGGACCGAGAGATCATGATGAAGTTATTGGGGGTAAGTGTCTCCTGAGATCCAGCACATATAACACGAGTTTACAAGACCATCAGTGAATGCAGTGTTACCCGTGAGCACACACTAGTGCCAGCACACAGTTCACCTGCATCTGTCATTCACACATAATGAAAACAGTCCGCAGGATCCAATAAAGAGGAAAAAGCAAAGAAGGGCAAGAAAGGAAAAATGAAAGAAGCGGTGGTAAAGAAACCTCAACCTCATCAGAACGAAGCCGTGAAGCCCAAAGCCGAAAACACCATCCGGAAGACGGAGGATGCTGAAGCTGTTGAAGATCCTGCAGGAGGAGATCAAGACGTCAAGGTCGCAGCACTGATTCAACACTTCATTCGCTAACGAACAGTTTGGGTTTATATGCTGTTGAATGTTTGATGATCGGGTTATTTTACATGTGCACCTGCTTACATACACGATCGCTCGTTCCTGCTGCTTCTTCACCGTGTTTTGATCCAGAGATTCAGTGCTCTTTCAGAAGATGTGTAATAGCGCCTCCTACTGTATAACAGTGAAAACACAGAAAGCCGGAAAATTCCGTCAATGCGGGGAAGTCAAGTCACCTTTATTTCTATAGTGCTTTATACAGTACAGATCGAGTCAAAGCAGCTTTACAGTGTTAAACAGGAAAAGAGTTTGTCAATAATGCACACTAAATTCAATTCTGCTGTAGAGCAGCTCTAAAAAGAGGACAATAGTAAACATTTCAGTTCATCATTGATTCAGCTCGGTTCAGTTCTCTTCTGATAGTGTCTGTGCAGTCAAGCTGAGAGTTAAAGATCTGTGCTGCTACCTGAGTTATGTGATCGTAATCATCACTCGTTCATGTCATCCTTCAGTTTTCCAGTCTCTCTGCGTCTGTGATTGTAGGTGGATGATCAGAGTGTTTTTAGGCATCGTGGAGAGAGGAAGATGAAAACCCTGGACGAGGAAGAGGACATGACCTCCAGCTCTGCAGATCTCCTGGAGGAAGGAGAAGAACTCCTAGGTGTCAGCACACGTTCACAAACATCATCATCATCAGTGTCCAGTCTTCTGTCAGATGTTCAGACGGTCTGTGGTTGATTGTGTCTCAGATGAGGACAGTGGGAACGAGCACGAGGAGCAGCGGGAGTCTAGCGGGACGCCAGACGAGATGACCACATGTGCAAACATCAGAGACGAGGACGAAGCAGAAGACGACGAGCAGCCGGCCGAGGAAGAGAACGCAGCAGAAGATGGAGACGAGGAAGATCAGAGCACCGAGATCAGCTTTCCAGACACCAGCATCTCTCTGTCTCACCTGCAGCCGCACAGGTGACGCTCGCTCAGACTCTGTTCCACTGCTGTATGAAAAGCATTGGCTGTTTTGAGTCAGTCTGTGTCTTTCTCCACAGGACTCTTCAGAGCGACGCTTTCAAGCAGGACGATTCGCATCAGGTGAGTTACAGACGGCGAGATCACGTGACTCTGCTCAGCTTTGAGTCAAGCGAAGGTTAACAGATGCGTCTGTGCTGCAGGTGAACACCGAGACTCAGGTCAAGAAGCACCTGACGGCCAAACAGCGCAGGTGAGACGCTAGAAACACCAGCCTGGCACGTTTATTTCTACAATACAGAATGATTCAAAGTGGCTTCACAGAAATATACAGGAAAATAACAGCATCAATGATGCAAACTTCAAATATGAGAGAAAAACTAATTCATCTGTAAAACATCTGTCAACATTTAATTCAATGTTTAATTGAATATCCTCCTTCAAAAATGTGTAAACCACTTTAAGTGTCAAGAAAAGATAATAGTGCTGTTTCAATAAGCTAATTAGCTATGAAACAAACTCGTTTCAGCTGTAAAGCAGCTCTACAGAAGACAGAGTCATTATTCAGAGCCGTTCAGTTTCTATTCTAATCTAATAGTGCAGTCAAATCAATAATATTACTGAAAATTAAGAGTCTTGAAGCCAGTCGTGAGCAAAGACATCAGTTAGATCAGCATAACTAGTTGATCACCCATCGCTGTGCTAATTAGCTATGAAACAAACTCGTTTCAGCTGTAAAGCAGCTCTACAGAAGACAGAGTCATTATTCAGAGCCGTTCAGTTTCTATTCTAATCTAATAGTGCAGTCAAATCAATAATATTACTGAAAATTAAGAGTCTTGAAGCCAGTCGTGAGCAAAGACATCAGTTAGATCAGCATAACTAGTTGATCACCCATCGCTGTCATCAGGGACATGAAGAAGAAGCAGAAACCGGACACGGATGATCCGGAGGAATCCGACTCCAAACCGCCGGAAGCTGCGAGCGTGACACAGACGTGCAGGAACGGAGCGGCCAATCAGCCGCTGAAGAGAGGACAGAAGGTTATAAACCACTGAACCCGTGATCTTCACGTGTAACATACAGTCACGTGTTCCTGCTGCTGTGATGATGCTTTGTTTTTCCCAGAACAAACTGAAGAAGATGAAGGACAAATACAAAGACCAGGATGAAGAGGACCGAGAGATCATGATGAAGTTATTGGGGGTAAGTGTCTCCTGAGATCCAGCACATATAACACGAGTTTACAAGACCATCAGTGAATGCAGTGTTACCCGTGAGCACACACTAGTGCCAGCACACAGTTCACCTGCATCTGTCATTCACACATAATGAAAACAGTCCGCAGGATCCAATAAAGAGGAAAAAGCAAAGAAGGGCAAGAAAGGAAAAATGAAAGAAGCGGTGGTAAAGAAACCTCAACCTCATCAGAACGAAGCCGTGAAGCCCAAAGCCGAAAACACCATCCGGAAGACGGAGGATGCTGAAGCTGTTGAAGATCCTGCAGGAGGAGATCAAGACGTCAAGGTCGCAGCACTGATTCATGACCTGTAATATCTGACAGATGAAATACTACACGTGTGTGATCTGTGAATGAAGAGGGTTGTGATTGTGTTGCAGGAGACGGAGGACGTGGACAATCCTGCTGCTGAGGTGAGTGAAGCCAGAAAACAAACAGGAAGAGGAATTTAGACTTCCTGCAGCCGCCGGGAATCATGCGTGTCTACATCTGAAAGCTCTCAGCCGTCCGAGAAGAGGAGTAGCATCAGTGTGAAATGCTCTGAACACAATGAACACTTGCTTCACAAAAAGTCACATTAAACCAATTGCAGACCGTTCTAGTTCAAAATGAGATCTTTGAGAAATTTCAGTCAGGGTTTAAAGCAAGTCATAGTACAGAAACGGCCTTGTTGAAAGTTTTAAATTATATTTTTATTTCAATTGATTCAGGCAGCTCAGTGTTTTAGTTTTACTAGATCTCAGTGCAGCGTTTGATACCATTGATCACAATATTCTTGTCTCGTCTAGGAATCCGGGGTATGGCACTTGAGTGGTTAAAATCCTTTCTTTTTAATAGAACGTTTTCAGTCCATTTTGGTCAACATTACTCTAAAATGGCCCCATTGTCTAGTGGAGTTCCACAAGGATCCATTCTCGGCCCAGTCTTGTTTTCATTATATATCTTACCCTTCGGTTCTATATTTCATACGCATGGAGGATCTTTTCATTGTTACGCAGATGACACTCAGGTGTATCTACCTTTGCAGAAACAGGATAAAAGCTCTTTCGAGTCACTATTGAGTTATGAAGTTAAAATTATCTGAATTTGAATGAAATCAAATTCCTGGGGCTCCTGACACCCAAAACTCTTTTGACTCGGGCAATTGAGCTCCCTTCTGTAAATCTGTGGTGAAGAACCTGGGTGTCCAATTTGATGGTTCTTTGAAATTTGATAAACAGATCAACTCCGTGGTCAAATTCTATTTAAGCTCAATAGCAAAGGTTAAACCATTTCTGTCCTCCAGTGATTTTGAAAGGATTATTCATGCTTTTATTTCTGTAAGACTGGATTACTGTAACTCACTGTATGTGGGTGTTAGCCAAGTATTGTTAAATCTTCTTCAATTGGTTCAAAATGCAGCTGCTAGGCTTTTAACAGGTACTCGTAAAAGACCGCATGTAACACCGATTTTAGCCTCACTTCAGTGGTTGCCAGTGCAGTACAGAATTGATTTTAAACTATTGATTGTTGTATAAAGCATTTTATAATTTGGCCCCACCTTATTTAGTGGATCTCCTTCGTATACACAAACCACCCAGGTCTCTCAGGTCAGCTAGACATCCCAAGGACCAGACTGAAGTTGAGCGGTGACCGGGTGTTTGCAGTAGCAGCTCCGAAGCGCCGGAATAAGCTACCTCTACATCTCAGACTGGCTCCGTCGTTAGGCTATTTTAAACGAAAATTGAAAGTGCATTTACTTGAATTAGCGTTTGGTTCTGCAGACTAATTAGCTAGAGGCTTTTTTTTATATAACATTTGTTGTTGTTGGTCATTGTTTGAAAGTTAATATTGTCATTTTTATTTAGAGATTGTAGATTGGTCAATGTTACGTTGTTTTAATTGTGCTTTATAATTAAACGAACACAATCACCAATGACGACTTAATGATTTCATTGTTTTAATTTTTTTAGGATGGTGAAAACATTCTGGACTCGTTGACCGGTCTGCCTCATCCGGACGATGTGTTGATGTTCGCGGTGCCGGTTTGTGCTCCTTACATGGCGCTCTCCAACTACAAGTATGTTTTCAAGATGCACTGAACAGATCAGCACAAGAGCTAATAATAACATCACCTCTCAGAGCAGAATCATCGAATTAAGACCAGTGCTTCACTCTCAACTATCTGTCTTGACTCCAGGTACAAAGTGAAATTAACTCCAGGCACTCAGAAAAAGGGGAAAGGTAAAGATCATCTTAATGTAGAACTTCAGTGCTATAAATCCGTATATAAATACACTAAGCGTGATCTGTGTCTGCAGCGGCCCGCACCGCCGTGCTGAGCTTCGTGCGCGGGAAAGACACCAGCGCTCGAGAGAAGGATCTCTTCAGGAGCATAAAGGTATTTGAAGCCGATGTTTCATGAATCTGAGCATTGAACTGAAGGCGTGTGTGACGTAACGCTGCTGTTTTACAGGACACTGATCTGTCCAGAAACATGCCTGGTAAAGTCAAGGTTTCTGCACCAAACCTGTTAGCAGCAAAGAAGAAGTGAAGCTGTGGCTGCTGGATGATTTCTGCTGAGAGGCACTGAGCACATCCCACAATGCTTTCGGTCGCCTTCTGGAAGACTGAATATTTACATTATATTGTATAGCAGAGAACAGTTTAAGCTTCAAGTTTGTTGTTTTTTTCTCTCATCAATTCATTGCATTTAATAATAAAGAAATAAAAATTATATAAATGTGAAAGTTCCACCATTTATTTTCCATGTTGGAAAAAAACGATACAAAATTTAGGCTTTGTACAGATCTGCATCAGGATTAGAGTTGTGCTGAATCATGAGAACGTGTCAGATAATCTTGAAGAGATTCAGTGCATTTGTGAAGTGGGCTGACGGACCGATATCTGATAACAGCTGATATCATTCAGAAAGTGCTGATTGTTTGGGTACAGTTAGGAAATTGTTACAAACTGTAACACTCCGGCGACAAAAAAAGACCATTAACCAGTGTTTGACGTTTTTAATGCAGATGTGGTATTAATGAATGAATCAGGCATGGTTTTTGCTCGGTCCAGTGGAATAAATGGTTTTTCTGCTACACTCTTAAATGACATTGCCTTTCCCAGTCCGTATGAGATGAGACACTAACCCATCATAAAAGTCTCTCGTTTTTCCCCCACAGAGATCCTCTTGTTCTCGTCTGACTGTGATTGTCTTCTAGGAATCTGCCACGGTTCTCTGTTTGAGCCGAAGGAGCAGGGCTTTGGGCAGAACGTCCCACATGTGCTCCAGTCGCTTCTGGTGCAGGACAGCCACGTCGAAACACAACCTGGACACGGCACAATCAAACTTTAGAGAGGATCCAGGACAGTAAGCGTGACGCTTCGGAGAAATCACTCACCTCACCAGCGATTTGGGCTGAACAGTGAAAAGCAGTAATTCGTTGCTATGAGCCTGTGAATACAAGTGGAAGAAAGAACCGTAGCGGAGTGGATTCAGACGGACGCTTTGAGTAATGACAGCAGTAAGACTGAGAAAACATCCCGACACACAAATGCAGGGTTTAAAGTGATTGATCCTAAATCTGTAAACTGTTCTACGTTGAAACTGTGAACATTATTAACTACAGAGCATTTGTTTTCTACTCTCTAGCTCTGGAGTTCTTCATTAAGCCATGCATCAGTAGCATTTTGCTAATTATAAGGGAGTAGATATTGATGTTTTGCTCACGGCCTGTTGATGAGAGAGAAGATTATTGGCACATCCTCCGAACACGAACACTTCCCCATCAGGACCTAAACACGCCGTGTGCCACAGTCTGCAGAAAACACAGAGACGTCAGCATCAGAGACGGCAAACACAGCCGGTGAACGAGACGAGTGTCAGACGCACCTGGGCTGCTCTGTGTGCTCGTGTTTAAACGGTTTCCACTCGTTCTTACTGACGCAGTACAGCCAGGCATCGCCTGCAAAACAAACACTTTGATGAAGCGCGTGTGTTTTCAGGGACGGGTGAAGCTGCGTCACATCTGCGTCACTCACTCAGTGTTTCTCTGTCGGTAGTGAAGCCGCCGAACAGAAAGAGATGATCCGCTGACACCGGAGTGAAGGAGTGCCACGAGCGGCCGACAGGACCGTGCTGAGGAACACACCTAGAACAAACACAAGCTTATCCAGCACATCCCAGAGAGGAGCGTTTCATTCAGGATTAATCAGCTAGAAACACACTGAACGTACATCTCACTCCATTCCCACGTGTCCATGTTGATGCAGTACAGATCGTTCAGCCGATGATCCTGTGGTGCAGAAGATTCAGCTTGTGAACACTTAAAGGCAGGTGACTTTCCTCTAATACTGGACGGATGAGACACACACACACACACTCACTGATACACACACACACACACACACTCACTGATACACACTCACCATGTAACGGCCTCCGAAGACGTAACCTCTGTTTCCGATGCTAGCGCAGGTGTGAGCGGCTCGTGGCGACGGAGCGTCTCCCTGTACAGACACACAGCGTTTGAACAGGATCACATGAGTTCTACACCATCATACCTGATTTACAGGTTTAAGACCTTAGTGATGGGTTGGCTCCACGCTGACGTCTCCAGATCCAGAATGTGTATGTGATTGTTCCAGCCTCGTCCTGCGTGGTTGCCCTGAAAAACAGCACATCCCATTTCTCATCAGTCGTGTCACAGGTGACTGCTGGTGAAGAAGACGGACTCACCATGAATGAATTTTCATCGAGTGCAAATGTTCCTCTGTGACCGGGCTGCGCTATGTAGCCGTAGCCACCGAAATACGCCAGCCTGCGGAAACAGACCACAAACAGCTGGAGCAAAGTCATGGCATCTCGCCAATAAGATCATCTCATGGTTCGACCGTCTCAGACGCTCCGTAGAGCTGTTTGAGGAGCACGTACTGGTTTCTGTAAACCCAGCAGCCCAGCTTGTCTTTGCAGGTCGGCGCCAGACCCGTCAGATCGCTCATCTTCTCCCAGCGGAGCACAGACGCTCTCAGCGGCAGACGGTAGACCTGCAGGACACCGACATTGGTAGCTCTCTGAGACTCTCAGCTGCCTCTAGTGTCTCGCTTTAGGAGAAGGACTCACCAGATTAGTGTTTCCTCGGGCCTGATGTCCGCCGAACAGATAGAGAACGCCGTCCACACACGAGCCGCAGCTGCCCGACATCGAGTTCGGCACGTCGCCCTCCGAACGCTCCATTCTCCTGCAAAATAACACGCTGTCAGCGGCGTTAAACTCATGTGATCAGCTCGTGTGACAGCAGAGTGGTTTACCATCTTCCCGTCTCCATGTTGTATATCCAGATTTCATTCTTCGGCAAATACAAGTCGGTGAATTCAGCCGCTTCGATATCTGCATTCTGATAAAACGACAGTGATAATATAAAGATCTCTTTACACAGTGACCTTCAGAACAGTACAGATGTTCAGTTAGATGTGAGTGTGACGGATCTTAAATATGAATAAATACACACCTTGTATCCTCCCCATATGAACATGCAGCTGCCGTCAGTGACAGCGATGTGGCCGCTGCGCTCCGCTGGACTCTCTCTGGACACAAACACCTCCTGCTCCTGCAGCCAGTCCAGCTCATCTTCATCTTCATCATCCTCATCCTCCATGTTTGGTACAGGATCTTCCTCCATGGCTGACAGTCACTAGAGTGAGATGTAGTGTTACTGATGAAACCTCTATTTAACGTTCAGCACATCATTATTCATCTGCAGGCTGCTTTACACACAGACACACACACACACACACACACATAGCAATCCCACAAGAACAGAAAGAGCATGTCCGATGTGCTCCGTGTATTTATAATATAACTCCTCTACAGAGTGTCATACGGTCAGTGTATGTCACACACATCATCTTCAGCACAGATTGAATCACTCTCTGGGTTGATAATGAGTCATTAGTGTTGATGACACCGAGAGTCTTCAGTAATCAGTCACGCGATCGTGTTGTTTTGGTACAGCAGCTGATGCGCGCTCGCCTCTACAGAATAATGACAGAAAACTACTCACACGAATGAAAACTAGTAGTGCTGTCGCTTCTGTGGGTTACACGAATGAGTCATGGACAGTCGCTTGTGATGAGCAGCGCTGCTCGCATGAATTAAAACTCTTTTTATGCAGAAAGGCCTCACCGGAAATATCTTCTGGTAAAGTTACGCCGCCATATTAGTGAGGTCAGTCCGTCAGTGTTCACTGCGCATGCGCGGAGCGCAGAAGCGCGCGTTACGCAACAGCCGGAACACGAACCCGTCGTTAAAGGGTTAAAGAGTGTTTTTTTAAACTTTAACCGCGTTATGCTTCCAGAGGAGTTATTTTAATCATTCCGTGTGAGTTTGGTCTCACTGTGGATCTGCTGATCTATCGATTCGAACGGAAGAGCAGAGCAGAGCAGCGCCTCAGAACTTCGGGTTCGTTTAATATGTTGTATGTTTTTTCAGTCAGAGCTTATTTACCAAGAAAATAACGACTAAACAGTTAGTGTCCGTAACTAGACACCGATCCAGTATTCACACACGGTAAGTTTGTCGTGTTGTCGATGTTTAATGGAGAAATCCATCCTTTTTGATGCAAAACATCCGACTGTATTCTGAAGGTTAGACTAACGCTGACCTCGCGGTGTCTCGGGCAGCTCGTGCGGTGGTCGGTATGCGGCTGCAGTGTGACGTGGAGGTCGTTAACCGCGCGCTACCGGCGCTCGGGCTGCGGAGTACCGGCAGATCCCGCCGCGCGCTGCTATCCATCGGGACCCACGCGGACCGGAGCTCTCCGAGCAGCTGCCGTTATCTGCTCATCTGCACCGCCAGAGACCGCAGCGGGTCCCGTTACAAGGCAGGTCTCTCACGCTCACACACACTCACACACACACACACACACACTCTCACTCACACACACAC